TTCAAAATAAATGTGAAAAATGTAGATTTTTTTTACGAGAATTATTTTTCCTGAACCGTCAGCAGCGCAAGGGTTAATTAATCAAAAAAAAAATAAATAAATAAATAACTGAAGTAATTTATATACATTGAAAAAAAAATTTTGTGTTTGCAACAAAATCGTTTGATTAGACAATTTTGGTTCTTGTAATGAAATTTTTCTTGGTTAAAACAAAGTCGTAGAGTTATCTCAATCAAACATTTGGTTAGACTAACAAAATTATTTGGTTGAACATTTTTAAATTCCAACCAAAATTTGGTTACGACAGCAAAATAATTTGGTTAACACAACAAAATAGTTTGGTCTAAAAAACCAAATGATCGTTTGTTGTCGTAACCAAAATTTGGTTACGACAATCAAATAATTTAATTTGCTCTCGTACCTTACACTCAGAAAAAAGATATGTTTGAACAAAATGTACCAGTTTTTTATATTTACCCAATTTGCTTGGTTAGTTCAAACAAAATTTGTTTAATTCAAATAAATATTTATTTGATCTAAATAACTGTTTTGGTTTATTTTAATAAATTTTTTGAACAAAGAAAAAATTTGATTGAGCTAAATAAACGTTTGGTTTATGCAACCAAATGTTTGGTTAACTGTATATTAATTCATTTATTTTGTTGATTTAACTAAAATTTGGTTGCTTCAAACGAATTTTTTTCTGAGTGTAGAACAATTAGTTTAAATCTCTCACAAAGATATGGGTAGTCCAGTGGTCAGAGCTCTTGATCTTCAGTTTTAAAACAGAGGTTCGATCCCAGGCGGAGATGAGATTTTTCAAAGTCCACAAATATTTCAATTGGATAAATATAAATTAAACGTTAAATTGATAATAAATAAATAATAAAATAAATAAAAAGAAGATAAAGTGAAAAGAAATAAGGTAGAATAAAATTTTTAATTTTACAAAAAAAAAAACTGTTGGTTTGATCAACCAAACATTTTTGTTGACCTAACAAAAAAAAATTTGATTGAACTAATCAAACTTTTTTTTATGTCAACAAAAAACACTCAATCACATTTTTTGGTTGACCCAAACATATAGTTTGGTTGCTTAAATGCCAACAAAATTGTTAGTGATTAAACATTTTTCTCAGTGTATGTGAAATAATAGATTTTTAAGCTTTAGAGGACCGGAAATTTTTGTTTTTAAACTTTAAATTTTATAATGTATAAAATTGTTTAGCAAATTTGTAAATAAATACGGCACTGTATTATAGGTCTAATAAAGGTTATTAAAATTGTAATTTCAAAATAATTTAATATAAATACGTCGAAGTGATTATGGAATTATATTTCTACCTGTGCGGTATATGTTTACATTGAAGTAAACAAAAGACACCTTAAGCCAACGTTCAAATACCAAAGTTAATATAATTAAATCAGTTGCAATTCATGTATTGACATGTTTAGACGTGGTTAACATTAGTGTCAATATTTTGTAATTTTGAAAAAAAAATCTGTGTTAATTATACGCCTATAATTATTTACTTTATCGTTATTTTTATTTCATATTTTTATATTTAACGCGAATAGTTTCGGGAGTGCTCTAATTTTTTTTAAACTCGCGAACAAAAAAATTTTAGTTTCAAAAAAAATTTTTTTTTTTTTTGTCATTTTAGTAAATTTTTTGTTCCGGGATTTTTAGAAAAAAGTATTTTCTTTTTTAATTTTAAACACGTGATTTCGGGAGTGTTGGAAATTTTTAAAATCGCGTGTGTTTCCAACAGATTTTTCTGACGACGAAATATATGCTACATAAGTTGCAGAAAAAAGGTTAGATATATATATATATATATATTTAGAAAATTGCAATTTTCTATTTTTAAACAAATTTTTCTGGAAAATTAATTAAAGTTTCTGAAAATCAAAATTTGAAATTGAAAATTTACTTGATTAAATGGATTAAATAAAAAAAATGTTAAAAAATATTTATGTCGCTTGAAAGTTACATTGGTCCTCAAGGAGTTAAATAAGAATTTAGCTGAATGTTAGGACCAGAATATTAATTTTGTCGAGAACTTTACTTTTAAAATATTGAATCGATTGATCTGCGATTTTGTCAGAAAAGTCTAAAAAAAAGGTACAATGAGAAATTGCTGTTATGTGCAAAAACTGAAATATTTTCTTTAATAAATTATTATAAAATACTCAACAATGACGTCACACATGACCTCATATTAAAAAAAAAAAAAAATTTCAAACTATTTTATTATAATAATTAATTCAACAAAATATTACAATTTTCTCGGAACACATAAAAGCCGTTCCTCATCATATTTTAGATCATCTTCACAAAATCTCGGATTTATTCATTTAATATTTTAACAACTAATGTTCCCCATAAATTAAACATTGTGCGAACCCAACAATCACATGTGTTGTTGAGGATAACCGTTTTTCGAATAAAATATATGCGAGATCTCTATTTTGTGGTATATAATACGAGCTTTATTAATTCTTTACAAGTAAGCTGTGTATGCGTATATAGTAAATGCACTTAAAAACAGAGTGCTTTGCGTCGTAGCAGTTTATAGTCCATTAATTTGTAATGTTGCCATTAACCTGCAGAGGACAGGTAAACGAGTTCCGTTCTCAGATCACTATAGCCTTTTCAGATAGAAAAGCCCAATCTGCCTTAATTTTAATGCGTACTCAAACATCTTGATGAGTCTTTATCTAAACGAACACACAATTATGATTTTTTAATGAAAAAAAAAAAGAAAAAAAATATGAGTGTTTCTCCGCGCGTAGAGAAAAATTTTATGTATATTATGTTTTGTTTTTTTTTTCATGAAATAAATTCCACGTTCTGTGTCATAATATTATATTTGATTTGAATTTAATTATTTATTATTTCTTTTATTATTTTATCGAATTATCAATTAATCGAATTTCTAAAAGTTTGAATTATCAAAAGATCAAATTTCTAAAAGTTCGAATTATCAAAATATCGAATTTCCAAAAGTTCGAATTATCAAAAGTTAAAAATACCAAAAGTTGAAATTACCAAAGAATTAAATTTTTAAAAGATCGAATTTTTAGGAATTTGAATTTTTAAAAATTCCAATTATCAAAGGATAAAATTTCTAAATTTAAGAATTACTAAAAGATCAACTTTATAAAAGTTCTAATGTTTATTTAATCGAATTTCCATATGCTCGAATTATAAAAAGATTGAATTATCAAAAGATCGAATTTTTAAAAGTTCGATATTTCGGTAATTTGCGAACTTTCATAAATTCGATTTTTTTGGTAATTCAAACATTTAATCAATCTTTTGATAATTCGAATTTTTAATTATTTAAATTTCTGAAAATTCCATAATTTTGTAATTTAAACTTTTAGAAATTTGATTTTTTAGTTATTCCGAACTTTTAACAATTTCGATCTTTTAGTTATTTGAACCATTAATAATTTTATCTTTATATAATTCGAATATCTGTAAATATTCCATCTTTTTGTAATCCGAACTTATATAGTAATACAAGCTTTTAATAATTCCATTTTTTGATAATTTGAATTTCTAAATATCCGAACTTTTAGTAATTCGAGCTTTTAACAATTCGATCTTTTGATAATTCGCATTTCTAAATATTCGATCTTTTTTTGTAATTCAATTTTTTAGAAATTCGATCAATTAGACATTCGGATTTTTAACAATTCTCTCTTTTGATAATTTAAAAACTTTTTTGAAATTCAATCTTTTGAGGCACATGATCATCCCAAAACGATAATTAATTAAAATTTTCATTTTAAAGAATTTTCTTAGAAATAATTATTTTTTGGACCAATTTTTAGTTTTCGAATTTGCATTTCATGGAATTTCTTTTTTTTTTTTGACGAATTTTTACTTAACAAAATTTTTAGCTACCGAATTTTTGTTTGCCAGAATTTTTTATTTTCAAGCCAATTAATTTACATGACTTTTTATTTAGAGGAATTTTTAATTTAACAGAATTCTCATTCAATCGAATTTTTAAATGAAAAAAATCCAATTCACCGAATTTTAATTCCGAATTTTTTTTTCGCGAAATTTTATTTGTATGAATTTTTTTTTTGATAGAATTTTTAAGACACCGAATTTTGATTTGTCCGAAATTACAAACGACCGAACAAACAATTGACAGAAGATTTCCGATACAATTTTTAAAATTGACCAATCACAATTTTCTTAATAATTTCAAATTGGTTCAATTCAAAAATTATGCAGAAATTTTTCTGTCAATTGTTTGTTCGGTCATTTGTAATTTCGGATAAATGAAAATTTGACGTCTTAAAAATTCTATCAATTAAAAAATTCGTATTAATAAAAATTGGGACAAATTAAAATTCGGCACTGAAAAAAAAATTCTAGTTAGGTTATATTGAACATTACTTTCTAATTAAGTTAACAAGAATTCTAGTTGCATTAACTAGAATGCCTTTTAAAATAACCAGAATTCTGGTTACTCTAACTAGAATTTTTATTCAGTGAGTGAATTAGAATTTCTGTCATTTTAAAATTCGATTGAATGAGAACTCTGTTAAATTAAAATTCTTTTAAATAAAAATTCATGTAAATTTAAATGACATCAAAATAAAATTTCTGACAAACAAAAATTTGGTAGCTAAAAATTTTGTTAAAATAAAAATTGCTAAAAAAATAAGAAATTCCGTAAAATGCTAATTCAAAAACTGAAAATTCATCTAGAAAATAATTAGTTGTACTGATATTCTTTAAAATGAAATTTCGAATTAATTATTTTTATGGGATAATCATGCGACACAATTTTTTGATAATTCGAACTTTTAATAATTGAATTTTTTGATTATTTGAATTTTTAATAATTAGATAAAATAAGTATTCGACTTTGTGGAATTTGATCTTTTGAGATTTAGGACAAAATAAGGCTACTCACAATTTCTAATTATTTTTTTTCTAATTTTAAAATATTTTTTTCATCATAATATTTCAGATTGAAGTAGCTATACATCAGAAGAATCTGCGAACACTTTGTTGGAGTAATCATCGTTCGGTAAGTTGATGGCTTTTTCTGATAGCAATGTTAATATCATTTCCATAAATTACTTGATGAATTTCCAAATTTCCATTTGTAATATTTAATTTCGGATGATTTACAAAATAGTTTTGTTAAATTTTCTGAATTTTTAGTCTTAAATACACAATATGATTAAGTATTACTTTAAATAATTTTACACTTTGCAGTAGATTGTTTAGTATATTTTACAAAATTGTTTTTTGTAAATCATAAGAAATTAAATTTTGTAAATGGATATTTAATCCTTTAAGGAACAAGTTTTTTTTAAAATTTTTTTATATTTAAACAAGTTTTTCAAAGCAGAAACTAATTAAAGTTTCTTGTCCAAAAACCAGAGTTTGAAATTGAAAATCTTCTATGTATATTAAGTTAACAAATTTCCAAAAGCGACACCGACACCGTGACCTCAACACCGTCCTTGGAAAATATACTTATAAACAATTTTTTTTCAATTTTTTAACCCGAAAAAGGGTTATTTTGCATTTTCATCACAAAAAAGGGTTATTTTGCAATTTGATGCAATTTTTTTACGAATTTTTAGATATATACCTTTAAAATTACTCTATTTTTAAAAAGTTACTTATAAACAATTTTTTACCAATTTTTTATGGTTTTTTTTTATTATTTATTGTTGTTTTTTAAATTTTTAGTTAGAAACCTATAATATTGTGCCTAATTTTAAGTGTCATTGAAATCAATTGTTTTTAACTTAATAATTTAAAAATTTCTTATTTTAAAACGAAACATCTTCTACTATATAAAGTTAACAAATTTCCAAAAGCGATACCGACAACGTGACCTGGACACCGTCCTTAGGAAATCTATTTTCACTTATTTTCAAATAAATCAAAATACTTTCCCATATGCTTTTAGAAAATATTACATACTTTTTTTTGTAACATTTTTTTTCAATTTTAACCCGAAAAAGGGTTATTTTGCATTTTCATCACAAAAGAAGGGTTATTTTGCAATTTTATTCAATTTTTTACAATTTTTTGTATATATACATTTAAAATCTCTTTATAAAGGTTTACTCTGGATAATAAAAATAAAAACCGATATTTTAAAAGGTTTTTCGATTTATTATGAACATTTTTCTAAAAAATTTGCACAATCTCCATGTGTTTGTGGGGCAATTTACAGCAATATAATATAATATAATATAATATAATATAATATAATATAATATAATATAATATAATATAATATAATATAATATAATATAATATAATATAATATAATATAATATAATATAATATAATATAATATAATATAATATAATATAATATAATATAATATAATATAATATAATATAATATAATATAATATAATATAATATAATATAATATAATATAATATAATATAATATAATATAATATAATATAATATAATATAATTAATATTGTTGTAAAATTTTAATAAATTAAAACATTTAATATTTAACAATTGTCATTTCATCCTTCAATGATACTGATCAAAATTAAGATAAATTTTATACAATATTAATAATATATTAATTTAAAACATAAATTATATATATATAATATACATAAACTACAATAAGTAAACAACAATAAGTACAACTATAACCGAGCGAGCGTTAGCGAGCGAGGAATACATCGCTAATTTACTAAATTAAATGAAAAACATTGTTTCAATATTCAGTTTTAAAAATCATGAAAGTTATGCATGTTGCTTGAAAGTAACACTGGTCCAGAAAGTGGTTAAAAGTAACAAAAAGTTTTTTATAAAATTCCATAAACTATTTTTTTCCCTGTAGATTTTTTTCAAATTTTAATTTTGTTTAATCAACTATTATATATATATATATATATACATATATATACATATTTAACTGAATTACCATGTAAATTTCGAAAATGAAATTTATCAATGTTAAATTATGTTTGATAAATTATTATAAATTACCTGTATATAGTTCCATAAATTATCACAGAAATGTTCAAATAATTGGATTTTATAATTTTGAATTTGATACGCTAAATTCCTAATATATAAAATTAACATATTTGAAGTAACAAGAGTAAATTTTTGAAATTAGATTTTTTAATTTTGAATTTTGTTTTTCTTTAATAATAATAGCTGTAACTAAATCTTTTACTACGCAAAATTGTAAATTTTTTTTTTATAAACAGAATTTTTCTTTTTTTTTTTCCTACAATCACTGAGTAATTGTTTCAACAAGTTTTTCATATATAAAAATACGAAACACACTTTATAAAATTTTTATGATATATTATAAAAGTTCTCCTTATTGCAAGAGAGAATGGATTTTTCGCAATACAACCGGGTGTGTAGTGATTGACGAGAAAGAAATTGCACGAGATATGTGAATGTGCGTAAAATATATATAATATTAAAATCACTGAAGTGAATGGAACTTGATTTTAAAAACATATAATGTATATACGCAGTGCGTGTAAGGTGGTGAATGTTTGCGCATTTTACTATATATATTCATATAATGTAATTTATTTATATTGCGTGTTTCATTCTCTCCCGTGAATTTTTTTTTAAATAATCTAAAATTATTAAAATAATACTGTAATATCAAAAGGAAAATTAAATTTCATTGGTAAAGAATACACGTTTTTAGCGTTTTGTGGCTCTGGTCCGAAAGCCTTACGGTTTCGCTTGGCGTCCGTGTGTCCGTCCGTCCGTCATATATATTCATATGGTTGCTATGGTAACTCCATTTCCATGACAACCATTTCCATAGCAACCGTTGCTAAGGATTTTTTTCCTTAGCAACAGTTGTCATGGAAATGGTTGCTATGGTAACGGATAAATATATTTTTTTAGTTCTTTGCAGAAAAAAAGTTTTATACGTATTTGTTTATTTTTTTATATAATTATGTCAAAATTTTCAAGATATGAATTCTTAAAAATCTGTGTTTTTCGAGGTTTTTAAAAATTCATAACTGGAAAATTTGGGTGCTTATAAAAAAATACGTAGGTATACCATTTTAAAAAATTTTTTTTTGCCAAGAACGAAAAGAAATATATTTATCCGAATTTAAAATGTCGTAGGTAAATTTCACGTGAAATTGTCCTATATATAGGTATTGTATTTAAGAGTGAATAAAAATCATAAATTTTTTTTTGAAATGTCATAAATAAAAACAATTGTTAGAAAGAAGGAAAAAAAAGTAAAGGGAGGTAAATTGGGGGGGGGGGTGGAAGGAGAGGATTATAAAGAGACGGGGGTGAAAGGATTAAATAATTATGTGACGTGTATATGTTCAGTGAGCCGATGAATATTTTTAGAGTCAACATTTAATTGCGCAAAGTCAACTTTACGTGATTAATAAACCAGAATTGACCTTTTTCGTGAAAAATTGCCTCTCAATTTACAATTTATTAAAGTCCAACACACAACTTCCAACAGTTATAACACATTATTTAATCTTTTTTGTTTGACTAATGAACTAGGAAATTCTTGCACTTACTAATTGATATATAAATTAAAAGAAAATATATAATTATCTGACTTTTGAAATGTATTTTACGATTTAGGAACAATGCGTGCTTTAAAAAAGAAAAATAAATAAATAAAAAAGCTTTCAAAGATATCCTGGAGGTCATTCAAATCACTAATTTTAATTCTAAAGTGATATTTCTTCAACTTTTTGGTCCGTTTGACGATGCTCAAGTTCACAACGTTTTTATGATCAATGATTTTTAAAGAAATATTTTTCAAAATTTTAATCCTGTTCCCCCTCTATAATAATGATTGATAAAAATAAATAATAATACTCACTCATATAGTACTAAATTTTATTCAAATTGCAGCCCGATCTAAAATTTTTTTTTTTGAATTGGTACACTTTAGAAATTTTGCCTCATACATTTATTGGTGATTCTCCATACGTAGCATACAAATTTTTATTTATAATATTATTTATTTCTTAAACGAAAATCGCCATGATGAAGCCTGTCCCATGTACCATTTATAAAATTAATTTTTTTTTAAAGCAAAATGCAGTAATTAATTTATTTACTATTTTCATTTTCTTATTATCTAAGTTTGTAGAATTAAATACTATAGTGCGGGGTGAAAAAATTTATTTTTTTTTATCATTTTTTCGATGTTAATTCTTGTTCCCAGTTTTGTGCGTCATGATGAAGCCTTTTAAATAAAACTGAATCACTACGTCCGAAAATCATTTCATAATTATTTTTTTATACCTTTAAAGCGCCAATTTTCAATAGGGAATCACAGAATCGTCATAGTATATCTTTGAAATATTTTACAAAAAAATTAAATAATTACACAAGCCTGCAAAAAAAAAAATTTCCGTTGTCAGAGATCAGGAAGTCATTTCGTGTAGTTTTTGGTGGGCTGAATCCTAATCCGGCAACGAAAACCCCCTATTACGTCAGGATATTGAGAAAAGTGAGGGTAAACGTCCTAAAAATCACGTTTTTGAAAATTTCTACCTGGTAAATCCGACGTACTAGAGACTTGTCATAGGACTCAAATTAAAGCTTGAACCCTGTACTTTACGACGATATAACGAAATTGACAACAACAAAATAAATTAGCTGTCAAAAATGGTTTTATTAAGTTGTCAAGCATAAAAATTGTCTCACACTGTTCGTAAATACAACTATTTTAAAAAATACTTGGACTCGCTTAGAATTTGTCACTCTGGGGTTATCGGGGGTCGCTGATTACGAATATGATGTCAGATTTTTAAAATTCAAAATGGCGGATCCAATATGGCGGACGAATTTTAAAAAAACTATTCAATCCGCCATATTGGATCCGCCATTTTGAATTTTAAAAATCTGACATCATATTCGTAATCAGCGACTCCGATAACCCCCAAGTGACAAATTCTAAGCGAATCCAAGTATTTTTTAAAGTAGTTGTATTTGGGTGATTCTACAGACGAAGGACGAAAATGAAGAAAATATGGACACAACATTTTTTTCTCATTTAAGATCTGAAA